TTTTTTTTTTTTTTTTTTTTTTTTTTTTGAAAAAAGGTTCCACAAAGTTGCCCGGTCCGTGCTTGAACTTGTGATCCTCCTGCCTCAGCCCTGCAGAGTGATGGGATTACAAGCATGCATCACCACACCTGGCTATTTCATTTTACTTATTTATTTAGTTTTTGGTACCAGGGATCAAATTCAGGACCCTGCACGTGTGAGGCATGTGGCAGAACCACTGTGTTACATTCCGGCCCTTTGTTTTACTTTGAGATGGTCTTATTAAATTGCCCAGCCTGGGCTTGAACTTGTGATCCTCTTGTCTCTCTCACATGGTGTGCAGCTGGCGTTATAAGAATGCACTGCCCCAGCCGACTGCTCCAGTTCCCATGACTTATAGCGTGTTTCTTTCCCAGCTGGGGGTTGGGTGGTCCATGGCGGAGCTTGTGTGTCACTCACGAGGGCCTGTTGTACATCCCTGGTCACAGCGTGCATCTTCCCATCCCAGAGCAGGAGCGGTTGGCACCCTGTGGTACTCGGGCTGTAACAGGTCGTAAAAGCAGGGCCACCAGTTACTTCCTTAGATGGGGCAGGGAGCGGTGAAGGGAGAGCCGGGGGCACCCCGCCTGTCTGACTGGTGTCTTGTGCCGACAGTGCGATCTGCGCAGAGCAGCCCGAGCCCCGTGCCCGCCATGGTGCAGAAGTCGCCCCGGGTCACCCCGCCAGTGACGAAGGCCAGCTCTCCGCAGGTGTGTTCAGCTTGGCTTACAGTGCTGTGTATGTTTTGTCTCGCCTCAAGTGTGCATGTTAATGAGATCAGTTTTCATGTTTTGGACTTCAGATCTTGGACATAGTCATTAGGACTCGGAGAGGAAATACCAGAATATGTGACTTCGGTCTACTGTGTACTCATAAATATAACTTGTACTGTAATGTTGCCCGCCAGACTTGATTGAGGCCGCATGAAGCACCCCCCAGACCTCTGTGTCCGGGTCTCCTGGCGGCAGCTTTAGGGCGGACTTTCTCGGCTCTCCCCTACCTGCACCCCATCCTTGCTGTTTCCTGCTACTTTACCAGTTTCTCTTACCAACGTGGTTGCTTCCTCTTGTCCGTCTTGTGTAGCAGAAGGTGATGCCCATGAGAGGGACCCCACTTGCCCTGCTCCCTGCTTCTCCACCCACTGAACCTGGCTCATGAGCCCCAGTGACGGGGACTCTACACAAGGGACCCTCCATTCTTGTGCCAGTCTCGATGCCATGGCTTCCTCATGCCGCACCTTGTAGCGTTTTTAAACCTTTTGCCTTCCGTTTCAGCCAAAGTCACTTCAGCCTCCTGTCTCAGAAAAACAGGGGCCTCAGTGGAAAGACTCAGACCCTGTGATGGCGGGGATCGGAGAAGAGGTAAGTCTGTTGCCGAGGCTTGCTCTGCCCACGAGACCTGAGCAGCCCTGCGTGCGGCCACCTGTGTAACCGCCACGCCTGGTGGTGCCCGGCCCGTGAGTCAGCGCAGGGGCATCGCTGTCATCGCTGTGCCACTCAGGCGGGGCTCTTCCCATTGTGGCCTCTGCAGATCGCACACTTCCAAAAGGAGCTGGAGGAGCTGAAAGCCCGCACTTCCAAAGCCTGCTTCCAGGTGGGCACCCCGGAGGAGATGCAGGTGCTGCGGACAGAGTCGGCCGACCTGCACTCCTTCCTTCTGGAGATTAAAGAGACCACAGAGGTGCGTGCGCGGGGCTGGGCCTGGGCCTGGGCCTGGGCCTGGGCCTGAGCCTGAGCCTGAGCCTGAGCAGGGTGGGGCTCGGGGAGTCCGCTTGCCTCACCCCTCCACGGTGGGCTTCGGCTCCTCCAGGACCGCTGGCATTGCTGTTTGTGTGTTGTGTGGTTTACCTGGCATAGCCTGAATTTACATCCTACCTGCAGGACCTCATGTGTTTGTGCGGCAGGTTGTAGTGTTTTGAACATCTGTGAGACCAGGCAAGTTAACCCAGCTGCTCTGTGTTTCAGTTTTCTCTTAGACATATTCTCAGCGCTCCATAAAAGTTTATCATGGTAGTTAACGTAGGTGTGGTGGAAATGCTGCTCCCTTTTGTACTGTTGGGTTCAAAGGAGCAGAGTATCTTAGAGCACGTACACTAAAGATGTGCAGCGTCGGTCGTCAGTGTCCTCAGGCTCGGGGCTCTTCCTGTCGTCACCCCTTCCTGTGCAGCCACTGTGCCAAGCACTCTGCCTGGGTCATCTCACCGAGCCCTCGCCCTTCCTGTGTGGTGCGCACTGTTCCCCTCGCTCGCACAGCAGGGGGTCGGGGCTGACAGGGCGAACTCATTTTTGCGCATTCCCGTTCAGTGAGTGCCAGTGCCGGGGTCCCGCCATGCTGTCTCCGGCGTTCTGGTCCTGGTGGTGTGCGGGGAAAGAAGTTCCAGGTTGTCCGCAGTACCCTTCCTGCTTTGCGCTTGCCGTCATCCGAGCACGTATTTTATTCATTAGGACAAAAAGTCATTTTAAGACACACACACTCACACACACACACACACACACACACACACACACACACACACAGAAACAGCACTAGTGTCTTTTTTCCCAAGCAGTAAAATGGTTTCCCGAGGTAAATGTGAAACTGAACGGGTACCTGAGTAAGGTGCTCCTCGTGTTCCGTGTTTGATCTCCACCTTCCATGACCAGCACACGGGTGTTATTTCTTGCACATGCAGCGAGTGTTGTCTCAGTCCATCCCTGCTCCTTTTCTAGTCTCTGCACGGAGACATAAGCACCCTGAAGACATTCCTGCTCGAGGGCTTTGCTGGTGTGGAAGAAGCCAGGGAGCAGGACGGGAGAAACCACGACTCCGGGTATCTCCACCTGCTCTACAAGAGGCCGCTGGACCCCAGGAGTGAAGCTCAGCTCCAGGTGGGAAAAGCTCTCTGTCCTAGGCAGATTTTCAGCGACCCAGGCGGCCACTGGCTTCTTGTAGCTTGCGTTTGGCCCGTGGTCCTTCATCACGTTGTTGATGTCCGACGATAACACACTGTACTGCTTACGTGTGGCTGAGAAAATAGCACTTTCACCCTTAAGGATTTTTAAGTAAAATTCCTAATTAAACCTTAAGCATCATAGAGAACACTGTTGGAGCAGATATTTTTCAATCAAATCACAAAATTAAAGTGGCACCTATTTCTTGAACACCAGCTCATCTGCTCGGTGTTTTTGCGCATTATTTCTAGTCTTCACGACCAGCCGCCCCGCGAGGGTAGTTACTGACCCCTGTACAAAGAGGAGTGGAGCCTCCGGTGTTGGCCAGTCAGTGAGGCCGGAACCTGAACCTGCGTCTCACCTGCCAGGCTCGTTCTTGTGTGCCGAAGTTGAGTTCAGATGCTTTCTTGCCAGTGGTTAATTCATTTCTTCAGCTGCCTGGCGTCTGCCTTGGTCTTGCTGCTCACCCAGTCACTGAGGTTCGAGGCCCCTTTTCCCCAGCTCAGGCAGCGCTGGACTTCCTCAGCTGGGATGCAGCTCTCGGGGAGGACATTTCCTCCTGCTCCCCCGCTCTTGTGAACGCCCGGAGACGCGAGCCCTCCTGGAAGGGGGCCTCTGTTCCCGTGGGCCTGCTTCTGGCCTCTATGCGCTCATCGGACCCCCGGCCCCGCTCTGCACCTCTTCGGTGCTCCCTGCAGGCCTTTTCCCCAGGGCTCTGCTCCCAGACCAAGGCAAGCACAGTGCTTCCTCGCAGGCCTGCTTCCCAAGGGAGTGAGTGAGTGTCTTTCATCACGGAGCCGAGTAGAAAATAGTAGGTGACGCTAATCTAGTGCTCACCGTGTATGGAGCACAGACGAGGAAACCAAGGTGCTGAAACTGCCCGGACCTCCTCACTTAAATCCTTGGCTCTTGATCTGGGCAGCTGACCCAGGGCCACTCTGCTGCAGCGCCCAGTCCCAACAGCTGAGCGAGCACAGCAGGGACGGACGTAGAGACCTAATGTGGATGTATCGCTGTGGGACTTGGGGACACACAGCTAAGCCAAGAAAAGAAGGGTTTGCATTGAGCTCAGGCGCAGAGTTGGTCTGTGCTGGTCGGTGGCTGTGGGAGGCCGTGGGAGGCCGTGTAGGAGAAGCGCTGGTGTTGCCAGCACAGGGACAGCCACATTGGAAGGGTCAAGGGACAGAGCCCTCTGTGGTCGTCGATTATTGAGCTGAAGTTCCGTTTACTGCTAAGATTCCTGCTGCGTTCTTTGAGTTAACTTGGCTCTTTTTAAATGGCATTTTCTATTTTTCATTTGGGGCATATGCCTTTCTCCAGGAATAATTTTGAAAATACATTTCAGCATAATCAAGTCTTTGCCCACATGTAAAGAGCTTTTCCCAGGATCTGGCATTGGTCTCCATCGGAAAACTTGGTGCTTCACCTTGATTTTTAATTTTCAAGAGCCAAGTGGCATAGCTATGAAATTGAACGGTGGCCCAAGCTAGTGCAGGCCTAGAGTAGGTTAAATGGGGATTTAATGAAGGTAAATTAATTTTCCTGGTGCTGACATTTGTTTTTGACAAGTGAATCCTTCTCCACTGACGAGATGACTTTTGTGTTCCATGCTATGAATAGACAGGCTCAGGATTATTTTCAGCACTGCTTTGTAGGATAATTTCATGTGTATTACAGTTAATTTCATGTGTGAGAGAGCAAAACTAAATGGGTGTACTGTCTGTAGTGGAGTCGGGCGGAAAACTCCCAGACCTCGCAGAGAGGCCAGTGCAGGAGCCGAGCAGGGTGGAGAGCACTTGTCCCCAGGGCCCCACGGGCACTGCGCTCTTCCCCTTCCTTTGTGCCACCCCTGTCCCTGCTACAGAAGCTGGTTTTCTGTTCCTCATTCTAATTGCAAGGTTTTGATGGATATATTAAACCTGTTAGGGTTTTCTTGTTCATTATAGTTCCCAATATAGAAATACTTAAATTATTTTGACTATTTTTGAGACATCGTCCCCCCAAGCTACTAGAAAAACAAGTCATTTGTCTTTTAATTTTTTTCACGCAGGAAATTCGGCGCCTCCATCAGTACGTGAAGTTTGCTGTCCAGGACGTGAATGACGTCCTGGACTTGGAGTGGGATCGGCATCTGGAGCAAAAGAAAAAACAAAAGTGAGCGAGATCTCACCCCCTGCCGTCCGCTGCTTTTTACACTCGTGCTGTGGGCGCATCTTCCTTCGCTCTCCCTGAGACGCAGTGCCGGCGCCCACAGCTGTGAGGAGGGAGGAAGGGTTATGTGGCCTTCAGTCCACAGTCGGCAGGGTCCAAGGCAGGGGGCACCGCAGAGGAGAAACAGCTCATGGCTGGTGCGGAGAAGCAGGGAAACGGGGCAAGGACGGGGCGGGCCGCACCCCAAGGCCCCCTCTTCTGAGCACCTCTCCCGCCCACCGGCGCCTTCGGGAGACACCATAACAAGGGCCTGTGTGCAGACCTTGGAAAGTCCATTCTTTTGACATAACTCGTTTTATTGGTAAAAATTTTGTTACAGAAGTAACATATGATGTTCACAGTAATTTACAGGAGAGAATTTATATTGCAGCACAATTTATAATGGTGTGAAACTCGGATTCAGCCTCATTACTCAAAACTGAGACACGCTCTGATAATGGGGTCACCTTTTTTGTTCTTACTACAGAATACCATATAAGCGTTGAGGGAAGTGCTCATAGAAATCGCACACGGTGTGTTTTATGGTGTACACGATGCATGTCTGACTCGATAGTAAAACATAAGGTCGGTGAGGTAAGATAAACAAGCGTTTTGAGTGACTGTAGGGAGGTGCCAACCTGAGGGCAGATGGAAGGTAATCTCAGTCCATTCACAGTTACGTCTGCAGCTGGGCTCAGGAGAGATTTCTCCTCTGTACTTTCCTGTATATTCTGAGTTGTCTCTTTGAGAAAACATCTGTGTAGATAATGAAACATTCATGAGGAGCGACAGCAGAGAAATAAGAACCTGGGAGCCTCATCTCCCAGCCCTGGGTGCTTGGTTTTACGTGTTTTCTGGGAGGAATAGGAGCTACGCTGAGGGCAGGAAGTTCCCAAAAGGAACTTGAGAAACTGGAGGACCTGAAAATGCTCGCCTTTGCAGCACCCGCCCTCACTGGGGACCACCCGAAGCCAGCCTGTTTGCCTGTCGCAGTGCTGGCAGCCTGGAGCCCACTCACAGCTAGTGCAGGAAGCAGGGAAGGGGAGGTGGAAAAGCCCCAGCCCCTGTGTGCCGGTGCGGACGTGGAGGGCGCGGAGCTCTGCTCACTGGCCAGGCGGATTTCTGGGGCCTGGGTACTGTGCCCCCTTAGCGATGGCCAAGCGCCCTCCCAGCCATGACCCTGCTCCGTGTGTTCCTCTGCTGCCGCTCGTGTTTCTCTTTGCTCATTAAGAAGTGGGCTTCTTAAAAAGTGCATGAGACTCACCGAGAAGCCGGGCTTGGTTTCCCTGTTGCGGCTCCGCAGGCTTCCTACTCACCATGCCTCCTGAAGATTGCTTTTGCGGGTTCGGATTCTCACGTGCTCCAGTTTTCTATTTCAGTAGCAGGCCTCTGTTCTCGACCTGTCTCTCAATCTTCCCTGGTACCTGCTGAAATCTTGTGTCTGTAAGAACTTGTGCTGTTCTCCCCTGTTCCCGGAGGTGTTCACTCAGCTGTCTCTCGACTCCGTTCCTTCTGTTTGTCTTTGTATTTTTCCTCAAGTTGCTAGAAAAGCCTTTCTAAATATTCCTAAGGATTTAGCATGAAAGCAGAAATGACTGGACCTCGCTGTCCACCCACAGACCAGCCTCGCCTGTTTGCAGCAGCTCCTGTCTGCCTGTCCCTGACCAGGCCTTTGGGGTAGGGACCTCCCTGACCCCAGCTCTAGTCGCTGCTTCTTGACAGCAGTGTGAAGAAATAAGCAGCTCCCCTCGCCCACCAGGGAGTCTTCTGTTCTCCTTGCCACCCCCATAACTTGGAAGGAGCAAAGTATACTCTTCGAGCACTCCTGAGCGGCTGGGCCCCGGGCTGGATCCCCACCTCCGCCCTGAGGCTGTGGCTAGTGTGAGCTCTCCTGTGCCCCAGCTTAGCCTCCCTAGGCCTTCAGCCCCCTTTTACTTTCTCGTAACTTCCCGTCTGTCAGCAGAGCACCATCTTACCATTTTCATTGTCACAGTTGTAGGCTCATTGGGTGCGGAACCATTCATATTTCATTTTTCCCGTGGCTGCCCACAGGCGCCTGCTTGTGCCAGAGCGAGAGACGCTGTTTAACACCCTGGCCAACCACCGGGAGATCATCAACCAGCAGAGGAAGCGGCTGAATCACCTGGTGGACAGTCTGCAGCAGCTGCGCCTCTACAACCAGACGTTCCAGTGGAGCCTGCCCCTGGCCACGCCGGCCCAGACCAGCACTCCGGGGTGTGCATGGGAGCTGAGCGCCCTTCGTACTCGGGGAGGGGTGGGCATCCTTAGGGCAGGCGGTCCCGATGTGGCTTGGAAGGTGACTCTGCTCTAGCAATCTCTGTGGTCCAGGGCAGGTCCCCGACTTCTGTGATCCTTGCTCCCTTGCCCGATGAGTGGAGAGGATGCACCTGCCTTTGCGGGGTGTTGGAGAATGAGGCAGGTGCTCATGGGTCAGGGTGTGGATCATTATAGAGCATGTGTCTGGTACTCATGAGGCCTGGGGCACAGAGAGAAAAGAGAGAGAAACAGAAATTAAGAGGAAAAGATGTTGTCATCCCAGCACTTGGGGGCAGAGGCAGGAGGATCACAGAGTTCGAGGCCAGCCTGGGCTATGTGTAGAGATCCTGTCTCCAAAAACTGAAAAAAAAAAAAGAAAAGAAAAGATACTCAGGAGGCTGAGGCAGGAGTTCAAGGCCAGCCTGGGCAGCGTAGTGAGAACTGTAAAAAAATAGGAAAGGGGCCAAGGTGTGTCTCAATGGTAGAACATCCCTGGGTTCAAGCCCCAGTACCAGAAGGAAGAAGAAAAGGAAAGAAACAGGTATTCAGTAGGTTTGAGGAGATGCTAGAGCCATAGTGTTGGCTTCCTGAAAATTAACTGATGGGTTTCCACGGACCACTTGAGTGGAGACTGCACCTTGCACTGAGAAGGCTCGCCTGGAAGTCACTGAGACGAGCGGGGGCGCTGTCTGCGAGCTGCTGCCTCTGCCAGGCTGAGGCACTGCGGAGCTTTTTTCCTTGGGTGGGACACAGTGCTGCTGTCCCCTGGATTGATGACACCCCTTGATCCACTGGCGTGCTTGTGTTGCAAAGTGCTGGTCTCTTGCGTCTGTGTATAGGAGGCCGTGGGCCCCACGGAGCCTCAGCTCCCCAGCCCTGGCTGATTTGTGTGTCACTGTCCCCATTCAGCTTTGACAACGACCTGGAAACCCTGAGCGACGCTTTGTTAAAAACCACCATCGACTCTCACACCAAGCCCTTGCCCAGAGCGCCAGGTAATGTACCCTTCCTGCCCTTTCTGCTCTGCTGCCCTCTTCCGGCTGCTGGCATCTGAAAAGCTGTGCCGGTTCTTGCAGGTAAACTGTCGCCTGTGAAACAGACACAGCTGAGAAACTTCCTGGCCAAGAGGAAGACGCCACCGGTGAGATCCACGGCTCCAGGTAAAGGGACCGGCCCAACCCGTCAGCGTACATCAGGCAGGTGTGCGTGCTTGTTCTTATTCCTCAACACGCCGTCAGTAAAATATCCCACGAGTCTGCTGTCGGTCTGAAAATGGGAATAAACAGCCGCTTGTGTACACCGGGTGAGGCAGCTCAGGGTCACCTGGTTTCTGCGCTGTGTGTCTGCAGTCCCAAAGCCGTTCACAGTGCCCCAGAGGCCCTGCTGAGCCAGGTCCTGGCCTTGTAACATCCGGTTTTGCATTAACACCTCATTGAGGGAAAAGGCCTCTTTGCTTAAGAAAAAAGGCAGTCCACTTTCCGGGATCCTCCTTCTCAGGATCAGTCTCTGTTTCAATGAATTTCCTACTTTTAACCTCAAAAAAGGATGAGGGGGAGGAAAAGCCACTGCTCAGCAGTGATGATTAAAACTATTTTACAGGAGGGCCAGGGATTTGGCTCAGTGGCACCACACCTGCCTTGCAAGTGCAAGGTCCTGAATTCAAGTTCCAGTACCATAAAAAAAATAAAAATATTTTACTGCAAGGAAGCTGAGCCTGGTGGCCCATGCACTTGTAATCCTAGCACGTTGGAAGGCTAAGACAGTAGAATAGAAGGTTCGAGTCCCGCCTGGGCAGTTTAAATTAGAGACCCTGTCTTAAATTTAAAAATAAAGGCACTGGGTGTAGCTTAGTGGTAGAGCGCCCCAGGTTCATCCTTAGGACTGCCAAACTGACAAAAACATTTTGCTGAAAAGAAACCATATAATTTTTTAAATGTTGCCATTAAATTATCTAGATAATTGCCTTGTTTTTTTTAAAGCATTTGCTATAACCTGCTTTACTTTAGTGCCCACACTTGCATTTTTCATTGAAATTCTGCGTTCATTTTCTTTTTATACCAGCAGCACATGCCTTTTGGTAAAATCCATTAAAATAGCTGCAATTTGATTATTGTGTCACAATTTCTTTTTTCCTGTAATCTTTTAGTGCTAAATTAGGCGAGTAATGGTCATAGAAAAGTGAATTTTTAACTTTTTCTTATCTTAGCATGTTTTCTTGGTAGCTAATTGAGGAAAATTATGGAAAACCATGAAGAACAGTAAAAATTACTTTTTATCTTTGGCGCCTCAACTGTGACATTTTCGTTTACTCCCTTTTTTCCTTTGCAAATATAAATCTGATTTTTTGAAAATGACCTGGGAATTATAAAAACATTTACAATTTTGTGCTCAGTTTTTAACCTAAATTAAAAATTTATGAGCCCTCTTTTTTTTTTTTTTTTTTGAGGCAGGGTCTCCCTATGTAGTTGAGACTGACCTGGAACTCACTGTGTAACCCAGGCTGGTCTCGAACTCGCAGCGATCCTCCTGCTTCTGTCTCCCGAGTGCTGGGATGACAGGCGTGGCCACCACGCCCGGCCTGATGAGCCCCTGTTTTAAAAATACGGAAAGTTAAGATTGGTGCAGATCTGAAGGAACGAGAACCTGCGCACTGTCAATACAAATGGGTACGGCCTCTGTGAAAGACTGTCGTGTGGCTCCTCTGAAAATTCGAAACAGCAAGACTTTTTCTCAGACAAAAAAACTAGAAATTGAATTTCATTTTTTTTCTCTTAGAGGCCCAAAGATGGAGAAAAAAATTTATGAAGCCTAAGAATGAAAGATTACTTGGTGTAATTATGATTACATGCAGAATTTGATGATTAGAAACAAAACCTATGGGGCTGGGTAGCAATAGAGTTTCTTGGTCCAGGCTTCCCACTCGTCGGTATATATATTCCCAAGTTTAAATCGGGGCTTCCGGAGCCGTTTCTGCACTCATTCCGAGAGGAAGCAGTGTGTCTGGATGGACGCACAGATTGAGACGTCCGTCCGCCATCCGGAGCTGGCCCCAGGCGGGCGGTCACAGGGTGCACTGGTCACTGGGGATCTCACCCAACCCCGTCCGCAGGCCATGCTCCGAGAGGAGGTGATGCTCCCTGGGGCGGGCTGTTGGCCGTCTTGCGGGACAGGAACAGTTCTAGAAGTAGAGGCAGCCAGCGGCCTGGAAGTGCTTGATGTACGTACGAGCTGTGCACTCCGGGTCGGGGTGGGAAGGTGGGCATCGGGAGCCCTCATCCTGCCTGCCCCGTACCTTCCTCGGCTGCACTGGTGCTCAGTGCTCCGCTGGCTGCTGAGGTTCTTCTCAGAGCACCCTGCTCACAAACCTGAGCCACGACCCCCTTCACACTGCGCGGGGACCCCTGGGGTGACACCGGGCTCCCTCTGCTCCTTGCTGCCCACGACCTGACCACGCACACCTCCCACAGAGGTACTTGTGGCGTGAGCAGGAAGTGTGCTGTCCTCCAAGGTGTGCTGCATCTTAGGAAGGCTGACTCAGCACGCACACATTTTTTATTTTTCAAAATGTGAGGTAGAACCCAGAAAAGTACACAAACCCAAAACGTGCCTGTGTAACCTGCAGCAGGTTCAGAAACAACGTGCCAGCTTTTTTTGTTGGTCTATTTTCTGAGATAGGGTATCGCTGTGTAGCCCCGGCTGACTTCAAACTCCTGGAGATCCTCCTGCCTCAGCGTCCTGAGTGCTAGGATGACAGGTGTGCGTCACCACGCCCAGCTGGTTATTTTTTAATTTATTGTTTTGAAAAAATTGAAGGAGCACAGTGAGCACTGCTTAGCCGTTGCCTGCACAAGAGTCCCGGGCCTCATGCTGCTTCGACTGCAGTCTTTGGCTTTGCCTTGGGGGTGGTTGGTGCAGCATCCCATAAATGCCGTGGGACAGCCGGCATGCTGTCACCTGCGGCCTGAGTTAGAGGACGTCCCCAGCTGCAGGCTAATGTAAGAGCTGCATGTCCAGCTGTGTGTGGAGTGTGCTTCTGACCGCGGTTTCTTCGTCCTCACGGGTCTGCTGCTCATCAGCCCAGGCAGGAGCTTCTCTATTTACCCTTTCATGTTTGCCCTGGGCATTTCCTTCCCTCCCCCTGTGCATTGTCATCAGTATCATTACTATTAATTTTTTTACTTAGGTGTTGGGCTTTAAACCAGGGCCTTTGCGTGGAGTTAACATCTCCAGCCCTTGTTTATTTTCAGACTTCAGTTGCCTGGGCTGGGCTATAATTTGCAATCGTCCTGCCTCAGCCTCCTGGAGTGATAGGATTATAAGTGTGCACTGCCATGCCAGCTCTTAGTGTTTTTGCTCAAGTATTTCAGAGTAGGTTTTAGACAAGAGCCTTTACTCCTAAATATGTCAGCCAGCATCCTCTGAGACAAGGCCATTCTCTTACAAAACCATAATACATTTAGCAGGTTGGGGAAATTTGACATGGATGGAATACCGGATCTAATATGATCCAAACTCAGATTTTGCCTGCTGTCCCATTTGTGGCCTCCATGTTGACTTTAAAAAAATACCTAGGTCCCGGTGCTGGAGTCTCCATTGCGTACGATGCCTTCTCTTGTTCTTTTTCTCCTGTTTCGCTTCAGTTTTACTGCTGACACGTGCTTCTGCATGCCTGTTTGGTTTGCCCATTTCTGTCTTTGCCTGCTGCAGAAGTCCCTTCCTGCATCCCTGGCGGTCTCCCGTGTCCCTCGGCAGTTCCTCTTCTGTCTGTGACTCCGGCATCCCGCCGTGTGAAGGGCACGCCCACGGTCCCCATTCTCCCGCGGTGCACGCACTGTTCAGGTCAGGCTGTGTGCGGGGCGTGTCCTGACTGCCTGGTGCAGGTCTCTTGGAGGCCATGGCTGGGAGAGGCACTGCTGGCTCGTGCCCGCACCCTGGCCCTAGGCCCGGCTGTAGCTGCACCAGGTCTGAGGTGGTCAGACCGCCGGTGTGCGCAGTCCGATAGCCCACATTTCTGCCAGCCTCGATCTGGTCGTCTGCTCTCTTCGTCCGTTGTGGCGAACCCTTCGTGTGGTAGGTTTATTGTCTGGCTGTCTTCTGGGACGCACCTAGGTCAAGCTCCCCTGTCCAGGGGTGGTCTTTCTGGTTTGCAAGTTTGTGTTCGTTCCAGTGCCAGACCTCGGTGGGGTTGGTGTGACGCTCTTGTTTTTGTGTTTTGGAGGACAGATGTTCTTTGGTACAGATTTGTTAGTCCCCTCTTTGACAGTTAGCACTCGTGTTCTGTTTAAGAATCGCTGTCTGGGGAGTGAGACTGTTATCCTGGGGACGAGAACGTTTGCCTTGCCGAACTCCCTAGCTGGAACTGCTCTTCTACAAGGACTCCTGAGCCATCACTTGCATGTAAAATCCACTTTGCCCCTCCGAGACTTTCCCCTGGGTTGTTCCCGGTCCTCTCATCATATGCCGCAGCACCCTCTGGTCCGTGTTCTCCCTCCGCCTTCTGTAGAAACCCTGTGCATATGGAATCACACTTCTCTTTTGGTTCACAGAGGACTGTAACTTGTTTTAGTAGCTCTTTCCTTTTTATTGTTATGTGAATGTCACATTGCGGTTCTGCGTCTGGAGTTGAGTTTTGTGTCTGAGGTAGAGTGTGGCTCCCGTGTCATCCTTGTCCAGCACTGTCATTTTTTGTTTGTTTGTTTTCATTTTTTTGAGACAGGATCTCACTGTGTAGTTGAGACTGACCTAGAACTCACTATGTAGCCCAGGCTGGTCTCGAATTCACAGCGATCCTCCTGCCTCAGCCTCCCCAGTGCTGGGATGACAGGCGTGCACCACCACGCCCAGCCAGCACTGTTTTTGAGAAGCCTTTTCTCCCCACCCAGCCCGGCCACCTGTGCTGCAGATGAGGCACCTGTGCCTGTGTGTGGCTGCTGATCTTGTACACAGACTGACCTAGGCATGGCCGCAGCTGGGCGTGGTGCCGTACACCTGCAGTTTCAGCTATGCCACAGGCCGAAGCAGGAAGGTCGAGAGTTCGAGGCCAGCTTGTCCAGCTTAGAGAGGCCTGTGTCAGTGTCACCCAGGGGCTGGAGTGCTGACCTAGCATGCAGGGTCAGTCCCCAGGACCCCCACCATGCCACACCAACTGAACAGCACAGTTTTCATACTGGTGCTAAAGTGAGACACAGTAAGGCTCTCTCTGGATCCTAGAGCTGTGCTGACCAATACAGTACCGTCCTTGGATTGCATTGGATTTAAATGCAGGCTTGGTTCTGTGGTCGCAGTAGCCACGCTCAAGTGCTGAGGAATGAATCACACGTGCATAGCAGGGGCCACTGCAGTGACAGCTCTGGCATGGAAGGCACCGTTGTTGTCACAGAAAGTTGCGCAGTTCAGGCCAGGGATTGGCTGGCCTTGAACTCATGGGAATCCTGCTGTCTCAGCCTCCTGAGGTCTGAGGTTACAGTTGTGTGCCACCGCCCCGGCCTTCCCTTAATGTTCTGTGTGGAAGACCCATGCATCCTCTGGTAGACTTATTCTAAGAATGCTACTTTTTACCTTCTTTTAAAGATGGATATTTTTGGCCATACAATTTTGTGTTGGATACAGGTTATAGAAGTACGTTTTATTTTCGCGTATTGACTTTGGCCGGCAGCCTTGTAAAACTGTCATAATAGCCGGGCATGGTGGCACACACCTGTAATCCCAGCACTTGGGAGGTTGAGGCAGGAGGATCCCTGTGAGTTCGAGACCAGCCTGAGCTGCATAGTGAGTTTCAGGTCAGTCTCAACTACATATGAGACCCTGTCTCAAAAAACAAACAAACAAAAAATGTCATAGTAGTAACATGTAGTGAAGTCTGTATAGCTCTTCCTTACACTTGTTGCTATAGAAGTAGTTACGTTGTCCATTGATTCCGACCCTTTTGTTTTTGTCCTCCCAATCTTTTGATTTCTTTTTGTGACCTCACTGCACTGCTTAGTTTTGGGCGTTCCATTTGTTTTGGTTTTTTGAGATAGTGTTTCATGTGTATTTTAGGCTGGCCACAAAGTCAGAGAGGTCCTCCTGCTTCAGCCTACCAAGGGCTGAGGTAACAGGTGTGGCCGGCCAGCACTGCGTGGCGTGTCCAGTGCAGTGTCCCGTACAGGTGACTAGCAGTGTCCGCACCCTGACCTCAGAAGGCCCGGTCACTCGGGTGCATCTTTCCGCTCTGCCTCAAGCCCTGGGTGGCACTCTGCCTGTCCTGGGCCAACAGATGCTCCAGAGGAGTGGGCTCCCTGCAGTGCCGGAAGTGGCTGCCTCCTCGGTCAGAGCAGGGCGCAACCCCCTCTGCTGGCGGTGGACTGTCCCCACCAGCAGGTTTCCTGCGCCCGGAGGGGCTGAGAGGCTTAGCAGGCAGAGCGAACCCCTGTATGGAGCAGATCACAGGAGCTACGGAGAAGCCGCTGTTTCTTCCCACCAGCTGTGGACGACAGCCTTCTCCAGCTCGGGAGCACCGGTTTTAGAAAAACAGTGGTAGGCACCACGGCCCCGGGGAGCGCAGGGTCCGCCAGCATTTCCGCTGGGCGCTCTGGCACACTGTCCGGTCACTGCCCCCAGGCAGCATCTGTGTCCCGTGGCTCTTGGGCGGAAGTGCAGACGGGGCGAGTGGGCTGGATGGGCTGCGCCCCCACCTGGTCTGGGGAAGATGCCACTCACGCTCGAGGGGGCGTCAGTGGAGCACAGAGCCCTGCGGCTCAGGACGGGGTGCTCCTCTCCCCCAGATGCCTTCCTCGCGCCTCGGTCTGTTTCCCAGTGCTCCGCCGTCCTCTGCTGCTCTTTCTGCCCCTGAACAGCTCCTGAGACTTCCTGAGGCCCGCTGGGTCATCTGTGACAGCCTCCCTATTTTAAGGTCACTGGTTAGCAGCCTGAATTGTTTCCACAGAATCTCTGTCGCCGCCTCACGTGACCATGTGTGGCACCAGGGGCGGAGGTCATTGCCTGATAGCCTGAAGTCCTCTGCAGCAGGGTGAAGCTCAGGTCTGAGACGTCAGGCCTGCCGCTCACCGACATGGTGCCTTTGAGCGAGGTGCTTAGCCTGTGTCGGCAAGAGCTGTGAGTTCAGGTAACCGCAGCTTCTAGCTTAGCGGAGGAGCCTAGCAGGCCCTCAGGAGGCCTCGCCTGCAGTCCCGCTGCTGCCCGTGGCGTGGATGGGGTTTCAGTGGCCCTGCCGCACCCTTGCGTGCCTCGGGGTCCTTCAGCACATACCCTCCAGTAGAAGATTCCACACAGTACCTAAGTGCTTCGTGTCCGTGCCGCCCACGCGGCCACTGACCAGGTGAAATGTGGCTAGTGCCACCAAGGGATAGAAACTGTTACTTACTTACCTCTAATTACTGTACATCTCAGTGGCTGCGGACGCTGGAGGCTTCCAAACAGGGCGGCGCGGCCTGGCGCGTAGTGGGGTCCCCGGGAGGTGCACTTACAGTGTGGTCTGAGACTCCCAGAGTGACGGTGGCGGCACAGACAGGCCAGTCTGTGTGCTTCAGAAAACTCGCGAAGGGAGAAGGCCTAGACATGGTCTTTGGGTTTTGTTTTTTTCCAGTAGGCAGGCAGTAACATACACTCTGAAATTCATGGCAGAAAGTATATGGTGAAGCCTTACTTCATAATGTAAAGCCAGGCGTGGTGTGTGTGTGTGCGGCTGTATGTAAGTGACTCCAACAGCCAGATCCAGAAGATTCGTCAGGTTTATCCAGAAGTTTTGTCTGTTTCTTTGTTTGGCACTGGGGATGGAACTCAGCAGGTGGCAGCACCACTGATCTAAACCCCGGCCCCGTCCAGTATTTTTCACACTTACCCCGAGGCCATTCTGTCGTCAGCTGGCTCAGGTCTGCCTCGAAGGCTGTTGTCAGTGAGCGACAGACACTGCGACTGTTCCCCTGCGCTGGTCTCGGTGTTGCCTTTTCTGACGGACAGTTTTCCTGCTGCTGGGAGCTTCTGGCGAGGTCTCCAGCTCTTGCTTTTCCACCACGTTAGTTCCGTCTCTCACGCTCTTGCGGCTGGGCTGCCCTGTCTTACGCAGCTCGGTTGGTGAAGCGGCCCCCACGTGAGCCCGGTGGTTAGCTGGCCCGCCGAGTGGGTGTCGGCGACAGTGCAGCCCGCGCGCAGGGCCGCGCTGAGTCCTCTAACGGTGCTTTGTTGGGCCTTGCAGCCAGCCTGTCCCGGTCGGCCTTCCTGTCGCAGAGATACTACGAGGACTTGGACGAAGCCAGCTCCACGTCGTCCATCTCCCAGTCCCTGGAGGGCGAAGAGGTGCGGGCGTCCTGCAGAGATGACGAGGCGGTGGCCCAGGTGCCGCGCCACGCACCCGTGGCCCGCACACCCTCTGTCCAGCCGGGCCTCCTGCCCCAGGCGCTGCCTTTTGCCAAATCCCACCTGATCCACGGCTCTTCGCCTTCCGCCGTGGAAGCGCCGCGTAAGTCAGCAGCAGGGAGGGAAGGTCTTCCCCTGACGGCCCCCAGCCAGCGAAATCCGCGTGCCTGCGCTTCAGCCGAGGACCCGTCAGGGCCCAGCACATGGCTGCCGCTCCCTCCAGAAATGAGGGGTTCAGAGGAGCAGTGGGTAGGTCACAGGGAGCAGGAGACTCCGCGGGGTTCCGACAGCGTCGGTGTGGGCTCCTGCAGCCTCACCGGAGTGCATGCACCTCCGTCCTTCAGTGCGTGCGTGAGGACCAGGCGAGCGATTTCCTGAGGGGTCGGGTGGTTCTCACTGCTGTCCCGGCCACCTCCCCTCAGTGCGAGAGGAGGTGACGACGCAGTGCTTTGGCTCTTGGCAGCGATGGGCGCATGAGCCGTGCCTGCTGTCTGGGCAGCTCAGGTTACTGGAAGCTTCTGTCTAAAGCTCAGGGATGTTTCATTTCGGCCTCTTCCCTGCAGCCTGACGTGAGGAGTTGACTGTTGGGACTGTCGGGGCTCCTTTCCCTGGCCTCTTTCCTCACTTCACCTTTCCTTTCCCTCAGTGTCTACACCTGCTGGCAAAGTTATTCCTCAGGGGGCTGACAGCACAATGCTGGTGACAAAAACGGTGAAGCACGGTGCTCCCGGGCCCTCCCACCCCATCGCCGCCCCGCAGGCAGCCGGGGCCGCAGCCCTGAGACGGCAGATGGCCAATCAGTCTCCAGGTGAGTGCTGGCCACGCGGCTGCAGGTGACAGGAAATGCGGGCTGGCTTTGCCGCCCCTCAGGAGGGAAGGCCATGGGGCCCTCACCCCAGAAGGCAGGCGCTGGTCTGAACGTTTTCCTTTCAAGGGGAGCTGGTACAACTGCCATCTTTTAGTCACCTGGGAAATCATTGGTTCTGGGGTCATGTTGATAATCCCTACTTTTCACTGATCTTTGCTATGAGCCCTAAAATTAATCTTTTCAGCCAGATGATGTAATAATATTAGAGACATCTCATAGTCTAAGGTTCCCATCGATCCTAGGAACTTGTGCTCAGTTTGCATTTCAGTAGTGTAGATTAATTAGAAGTAAAAGTTACCCAAAAGAGCAGGGTGTGGTGGTGCACGCCTGTTATCCCAGCACTCAGGAGGCAGAGGCAGAGGCAGGAGGATCGCTGTGAGTTCGAGACCAGCCTGGGCTACACGGTGAGTTCCAGATCAGTCTCAACTACATAGTGAGACCCTGTCTCAAAAAAACCAAATAAAAAGTTGCCCAAAAAAGCCCAGGATTTAGCCCAGCTGCACCATACCTGCCTCATAAGCACAAGGTCCTGAGTTTGATCCCCAGAACCAAAAAAAAAAAAAAAGCTGCCCAAAAAGTAAGAAGCAAAACCCAAACTCCAACACTGTGTGCTCTTTCTGCTTCAGAACAGCTTTTTCTTGATGTTGTATATAAGCACAAACGTTTTGGCAGTGTTTTGTGGCTCTGCAAGTTTTTGTTTTGTTTTTGTAGGAGGGATGGAACTCAGGACCTCACATTTGCCAGGCAGGTGCTGTGCTGCTGAGCTACGGGATATCCCCGTCCCTATATCAGTTTTTCCATGCTGGGATCTAATAATGTGGGTCGTTGGCCTCCAGGGCTTCAGTTATCACTGGTTATCAATTTTACAGGCCAGGGGTTCTCAGCTTCCCTCTGCTTCTGAAGTAGTTAGCTAGGTTGCTGGCAATCGATGCACAGGGGCTGTGAATGCACAAACACATCTCAGGCTATTCGGGACAGCTCTACAGCCACGGGTGGCCCCACGAGCCGTGAGTACCACGTCAAGAAGGTGATTAGGCCAGGTGTCTTCAAGAGGAGACATGAGGACTTGATTTAGGCAAAAAGGAATTACCGTTAAACAGTGATTAAAAGATCTTTAAGAGGTGTTCAGATATTAAAATCCTTTCAAGGCACCTGAAATGCATACTGAAAGGGAAAGACAACTTCAAACAGTTCCTCTGAGCCTTCAGAGAATGTCATTCTTCTGTGGTCCAAGCAGAGTCTTGGCGCTGTGCCCCGGATCAGGCCCCACATCCAGGTGATCATTTATAAATTTAGAAAGCTATGGTTGAGGAATATTCTGATCTCAGTGGAACTGATTGGATTGATCTCCATTATCATAGTGGAAGGGACTGCGTGTTCTTGTGGCCTCTGAAGAGGGGTAAGAGTTGCCCTAGAGCTGCCACTCTGCCTGGGACACAGCTTTCACCTTTGCCGCAGCAGAGTTAGCAGCGCCCAGCGCAAGCTTACTTAGTGCTCCTCACTGCATTCGTGAGACTTGGGAACACAGTCTGAAATGCTGAGGCACAGGGAGAAGCAGAGCTGGGAGAGAGCACTGTCCCCACCTCTGCTCCAGTGTCTGTCCCACCAAGCTGTGAGCTCCGCTGAAGGAGAAACACTGCAGACAGCTTTGGTGTTCTCAGCACCGCACAGGACCTGGCACAGACCGAGCCACGGGGACAGATGAGTGGCTGGAAAGACCGCGCCTGAGGCTGCTTGTTGCCTGGCCTGTGCTGCCCTCTCGGGGGTGCACGGTAGTCAGCAGGTGCCTCGGCTCGGCACAGCGTCACGCTGACTGTTGGTGGCGCAAACCAGGGGCTGCCACTTTCCACGTGGTGCGGTTGCGGCCCGCTCCGGGTCGTGTCCTGGCCATTCATTTCTGCGCGGCTGTAAGGTAGGTCCCAGAATCGATACAATTCTCGCTCTCTGTTTCCATAGCTGTCAGCACCTTGGCCGAATCGAGCCTGAAGGGCGTGCCTCCGGTGGTCAACGTGCAGGAGTTGAAGAATAACCCCGCAGCCCCTCCTGCAGCCATCGGGTACGTGAGCGGGCCGGGTGTCCGCCTGCGCGGAGAGGGTCTGCCTGTGGGGCCTGCCGCGTCTGCCGCTGGGCTTTCAGGGGCCCCTTGCGGTGTGCGGGGGGGCCTG